TCAGACCTTTAATTAAAAGCCTTAATAAAAAGAGATGAAGGAGGAGAATGAAATAAGTATTTTTTTTCAATGGATTGTTTATAGGTTGTTGCTTCACAATCTGGATTGTGACCTCCCCTTTCAATTTCTCTGTTTCCAGGCTTACTCAACTCTTTTCAGTTTGAAAAGCAGCTGCTCATTGGAATAGGAAAGATTTCACAGCACTGAACTGAAGGATGAAGAACAGTCTGTCCTCTATCCCAACAGGGATATCTCTGGAGTGCATACCTTGATATGCTACTTAGTGCTGTATCTGGTCTCTGAAACTGAAAATGTTATATATACTATTGCTACAACAATCTCTTTCTCTCTATGTGAAATGTTACACAAATACTAATAGCTTCTTCCATAGTTAAGATACTGGGGAGCAGGCATGTTTGGCTTTTGTGGAAACACATATAAAGCTGCTGTAGCTTGTTGGGCATTGTTCATGTATATTTGTGCCATGTGGACTAGATGTTTGTGGCCATAACTGGAGGGGGAATACACAGCTGAAGACCAGCAAGAGGAAGTATCTGAGAGACAAATCTATGGAACAAACTGGCCGGTGGAAAAGTCTGCTGCATTTCAAAATGTTAAATTAGCTAAATTCTCTCTTGCCTACTTTTTGAACACCCATATAGAAGACAAGGTTACCAGAGATTTGCTACTGTAATTAGTTAGGTAACAAGAGAACTTCAAAGCTAAATTTTCAAAAAAATTGAAAACATTAGAAGGAGTGGACAACACTGAATTAATTTTATCTAATACTTAGAAAGCCAGTCTAGATACTGGGAAAACTGGTTTCCAATTTTTGTTTTGTGGCTAAGCACTTCCCTCGAGGTTGTATTTTTCTCCTGCAAGAACAACATAGCTTAAAAAAAAAACCTTTAGTCAATAACAAAAAGTAGTCCTAACTACATATAAAAGCTAATTTGAGTTGTTATTGGTTTTGTATCATGCACTCCTGTTAACAAGAAACTCGAGAGCAAATAATACATTCTCTCCATACATTGTGCTGTGTTCCTGATATTATACAAAATTTCAGGGAAATTTTACAAAATTCTCTTTGGTAGAAAGAATATTGAAGACCCTCACAATACTTTATAATGTCTATTAATTTATAAAAGTTCGAAAGAAGGAGGTATATAGGCAGGACATGCTAGCTCAAAGTAGCAATGTTCTCCCAACTCCCCAATGATGCAGTTCCCTCAAATTAATAAGCAGGGTGTGTCCATTAGAAACCACAACCAGTTTCCCTAAAAATGTCTTACTTTGCCTACCCCGGAACTGCCTCTAATAAAATTTAACATGCCTAAATTGGTCCTTTTATGGCACTTTTATTTATAAGGCATCCTAATCTTTTATCCATCTAGACTCACTTTCACTTATTTAGTGTAATAGAAGAATTTGTCTGCAGTGCTCTGTTTTAGTAGTCTATAGTAAATAAACTATAGTAAATCATAGCTGGCACAAATAGAAAATATAATAATTAAATCAAATTAATTACAGTTATAATATAGCAAAGTGAGTAATATTAATTAATCTCAGGTTTGGCATTTAGCACAAAATCAATCCCAAATTTGAATTCAAAAGAACTGTTGCTGTGAAAATATTTTAATTTCTTAGGGGCAGTTCACAATCTGTAAAATACACAAGATTGTTATCCAGGTTAAAGGAATATATTTGGATCAATTCTAGGGAATTAGGCTATGTAAACTTATTTCCTTATTAAAATATTTGCCCTGTGCCAAATATGGATTGGCAAAAACTAGCGTTATTTACAGATGGTTTTAAGGTCATGACAAGTTTGATTTTATCTAAAGACATATTTAAATATCTAAAGATATTTAATTCACAATATTTTTAAGGGTTCAGATGCAATGGCATGTAGAAAAACTAAAAGGAAAAAACTAATTTAAAAATTAAAGCATTCTAGAGAAGAAATTTAGAGAAAGAATTACTCATAGCCTCTTGAAACATAGCTGTTCAAAATGGATATATCAGTTGCTTGAGAGCAGCTGAAATACCTTGGACCTGGGTTGAATTTTTTGGCAGTTTTCTGATACTGTGAAGAACAGACTGCTGAATTATATTTGACTGACCCACCAAAGCTTTCATTCACTAACTGTATATTTAACTTCCGGACCTAAAAAAATCAGAATCTGGAATGATTTTATTAAAAAAACATAATTGCAAGTTTGCATATTTTCTAGATTTTGAACTGGAAATCATATTTAAATAGGATCAATGCTCAATTGTTGTGATGATAGATCTAACTTAGAGTTCCATGTCAGATCTCTGTTCATGTACTGAAATAATTACACAATCATTGAGACATATCATTTGCAACAGCATTGTTGCTGTTGTTATAATATACTCAGTGCTTTGTAATGATGCTTACGTAAGTGGCCTCACTCTCTTTGTCCAGGCTCAGAAGCTAAGATGAATCATATCTACCACTTACCTACTAATACTTGTTAGTACTGTATAAAAGACCTCCATGGTGAATCAGGGATGTAGGCTAGATTGGGAGGTCAAAAAACATCTCAGAGGAAGACAATGGTAAACCTCTTACGTACAGATGCCAAGAAAATTGCAGGAAGAAAATTCACTGGGATTTACATTTAGCTCAAAGGAAACTTTTTGTAACAACACCATGTTATATATTATTGTATCAGCTTTAATTAATTAAAAATACATACATACATACATAAATGCTGATTGCATTATTCCTTTCTTTATGGAAAGGGAGTAAAAAAATAGTAAGTCCCAAAATGTAAAGCTATAAGATAGAAAAAGAAAACATAATTAAATCCAATTTATACCAACAATTCAAAATATCTCTCTCCATGCCTTCTATTCTTGCAAATCATTCTTACTCTGATCATGTCCACACCCTCTTTCATCATGTGCCTTTGATAGTTTTATTATATTTATATGCCACCTGAATCCCGGTGATTCTAGGCTGTTTATAAATTGTTCAATTGTTAAAACAAAAAAGCAACACAAAATAAAAAGATGAAAGATGGCAAAATGACAAAACAAAAATGAAACAAAGAAAGCAATCTAAAGGGGCTCCACTCTCAGAAAAAGGCTGGGCAAGGGGCCAGGTCTTTGGGACTCTTTCAAACACCAGAGGGGTGGGGGTCATTTGAATTTGGGGAGGAATTTCATTCCAGGTGGCGGGCATTGCTGGAGCCAGAGAGATGTAATTGTTTAATCAAGGGAACATAGAGCACATAACTCTGCAGTATCAAATTAGTCAGGCAAATACTGTGGGAGACAAAAGTCCCTCAAGTAACTTTACGGGGAACAGCCAGTACCTTAAATTGCACCCAGAAACAAAATGTCAACCAGTGCAGCTTGTGTAGTAGAAGTGTTACACGGATATTCTGAGGCATGCCCATCACTGCTTATGCCAATTGAAGCATTTGGATAGCCTTCAAGGGCAGTCCAGATACAGCACCTTGCAGTAGTCAAGCCATGAGATGATTACTTCTCTTTCTGTTTGAAGATCTCATCAAACCACCTTCATTCAGATCTAGTGTCTTCCTCTCATTCTCACAGAGATGTAACACACACACATGAACAGCCAGCTCATCCTTGGACAGTATAAAGAGCGGGCAACTCATTTGCTCACTGTTCACCTGTTCATTTCTCAATGAGGGCAAGGCAGTGATGACAATTATGCTAAATGAAGGAGCCTCTACTTTTGTCCCACCTTACAGGAAGGAAGGCAGCAAATCCCTTTGAATACACTCAACCTTCCTGCTGTTGCAAAGACAGGGCCAGGTGATGCTTGCCCCCCACCTCTGGCTGGCCACTAACTGTAGAGTGCTCTTGCAGGCTCCCCTTTCTGTCAGTTCAGCAAAGGGCACCTGGGTAGAGACAGAAGGAAGGAGAATGGGGCCTGCTCCCTTATCCTCATTAGCTCTGACAAGTGGACCCAGGAAGAAAGGTGCTACCTCTTTACTTGCCCTCCCCTCTCTCTTCCTTTGGGGGCTGTGAGGAAAGCACAGGTGAATGAGAAAATTCAGGGGCTGCTCCTTTAGTGCCCTCCCAGAGAAAGCCTGTGAGTAGGCACAAACAGCAAAGCAGGTTAGGGTCCCCCCTCTGCCCTGGGGCCAAGAAAGGAAAGCAAGTGGGGGTCATTGACTCAGCTCCTGCCTTCTCTTGGCCTGCCTTGGAGTAAAGAAAGAGGTGACTTCAGGATGAGATGGTAGCAAATCCCCCCTTTTTTCTTTCTCAACTCCAGCAGGGGATGAGATAAGAGATGGCCAGCTGCAACTTCTGTCTGGCTGCCTCTCCTTAGCCCGATTCATGGCTTTTCCTTCGAAGTAAAAGCGGTCAAGCGAAGTCCCCTAAGCCGGGGCAGAGAGAGACCCCCCACAGATTGGGTATCTCTTCCGGGGCTCTTGTTTTCGACGGGGACTGAAAGACGGCGCTGTGCCTTTAAGAGCGCCCGTGGCAAGGTTGTTACTACCACTGGAGGCTGGGAAGGTGCTGCCGTCGGGGAGAGGCGCTCGCGTCCTTGTGCCCGTTCGGGCGAAACGGGGGCAGGGCAGGGCCGCGTTCCCGATCGCAAATCAGGAAGAGCCGGGCGAGGAGGCGCGGGATCTGGGATCCTCTCCTCTTTGTGGCTCCGAGAAGCAACATGGCGTTTCCCCGGAGCGCTCGGGCTCCTGCTCTGGGCAGGGTGGGCGACTGTTCTCCTCCCAACGGAGTGGCGCCCTAAAAAAAAAAAGAAAGAAAAAAGAAAAAAGCGCGAAGCCGTTCCAGAGATGTGAATGCGAGCTCCGGCCGAGAAAGCGGCTTCCAAAAGCTCCGCTCTTCCGTCGAGCCCAGCAAGTGGATTTTGCTCGGGGAATCCGGATCCGGACCACCTGTTACTCCGAGCGCAGCCCCGAGCCTCTGGCAGCCAGCGAAGCTCTTTCTCCCGAAACGGCGCCGCTCCCCTTGGCAGTTCGCTCTCGGAGAAAATGGAGCGCGACGGACTTTCCAGCGCGGATCAGAAGCTGATCCGGGAGAGCTGGCAGAAAGTGGGCACCAGCCCCCTGGAGCACGGCACCGTCCTGTTCACCAGGTAGGGCAAGATAGGTCGCCAGGCCGGAGAGCGCACGCGAATGCTCTTGAACGCCCCCGAGCGAGAGGGGAGGGATCCGTGGTCGCCGGGAGAGAAGCGTCAGGTTTGAGACTGGGCATTTTTAAACATCGGAAGTAATGCATCATCCTCAGCAAACTTAATTTCAAAGCTCCCTCCGCCAGAAACGTACCCTCGTGGATTGCCCAGCCTCTGCTTTGGGATTAATCCTACTTGTGCCTTGCTTAGCCTACCCTTCCCATTTCCCTTCTCTAATGTAACCCCTCCCTCCTTCGCCTCTTAATGCCTTCCCAAGGCGTCTGTTCCCTGTTCGGTGCCCTCCAGATGTGCTGGATTACAGCTCCCATCATCATCATCGCTTGCTCTAATAAATGGCTGTGCTGCATAGGTGGGCTGGAGAGGATGAGAATCGAAAGGTGGTGTTCTGAATAAAGGCTGTTTTGGAGCACCACATGGGGGGTGGGGGGGCTTTGATTGCTGGACAAAGGTTAGACACCAGGCTGCTCTTCTCATCTCTTAAGCTAGCTGGGAACAGGCTCCCTTTTCTGCTTTCCCCATTTCGATTCTTGAATGCCTAATGTCCTCATTCGAAAAACTCTCTATTGCTCTATGTGGGAAGCTAGCAAAACAAAAAAAGTCTGGAAAAAACAGAAACTGTGTTCACATCTTCCATGCATTTGTGCGTTTGCTCCACCGTTTGATTTTAGAGCAGGATGCACAGTGGAGAACTCTGCCTGGTTAAATTCATATAAATGACAGCGAATCTTCAAGAGTATGGGGTAAGAGAAAGAAGGTAGCTGGTTTAAACAACTTTAAAGCTTTAGGACAGAAGAGATTCCATTTCCGTGCTGTGTTCTTAAACTGAGGCACGTACAAACACAAGATGTAGGGAGTCACCAATTTGGACAGGTTTAAAAATAATAAAGGGGAACATTTGTATATTCTGTATATTGAATATTTGTAGCTCAGGGTTGACACGAGGGGTCCTTGGTGCTATCACTGATGATGTTACCTAGTTTGGGTAATGAAATGTCTGCAAGAAAACAAGCAAGCTCAGAGAGCACCACGGACCCTTCCCTAGATGGGCCTTCGGGCTCATCCAGCAGAGTATTTCTTTTATTTTGCTATGTTGATTGAAGAGATTCTAATACTATAATCCTTGCATCTTTTGTAAAGAATAATACTTTTGTTTTGGGACCGATTAAGTGCAATAACTAATACCATTTTAATCCCTCCTTTTTCCTTGAGTAATAGCCTTACCAGAGACCTAAAAAGTAATGGAACCCAGATATTTGGAAAAGGGGTTCGTCTCTAACAAGAAGATTCAGGGGTAAATTTACCCTCTGCCATGGAAGCTAATTCTGTGACTTTAAGCCAGTCGCTATCCAGCCTACCTCACAGGATTGTTGTTGTTGTGGAATAATAAAAAATGGAGTGATAGTTGTACCACTCTTGCTCCTAGAGGAAAGGCAGGAAATAAATTAACAAGTGAAAATATCAGTTTTAGATTTTCTTTTTTGTGGACCAATATAAAGTTGTTTTTTTAAAAAAAAAACCATGGGTTTTGTTTATGAAAACCCATGGGCACCTGTATGTGTGTGTGTACAAAAGATTGCAAAGTTTCTCTATTGATTATTAAATGGATCATTAGTGGCATAGAGATCCCTGGAACGTTCCCTAAAAAGAATAGAAGCTTCAGAATACAACATTCCCTACCACTGAAAAATGTGAAACTCACACCCACTACAGGGTTATCATGTCCAAAACATGCCTTTAATAAGCAGGCAGAAGAGAAAGAACTGCTGAAATGTGAAATCCATGTGAAGGTGAAGAAGCAGCTCTGTAACTGTGGGAACATTTGCACTGGGGACTAAATTTGAGAAATTTGATACATTCATGAGGCATTGCACAATGTCAAATCCTAAGGATATTTTTTTAAAAAAAATTAGCATATAAAATGCAACATACTAATAAACAAGCCAGGAAGTCTTTTTGTAAATCAATCTTCTTCCTGAAATTCTTATTGCATTTTGCAATGCTGGGAGGGGCACTGTTGCCAGAACAGATAACTACGGTATCTATAGTCAAAATAACCAACTTAATCACAAGAAATAGGATGCTTCTGGACTTTGGAAACCAGTTCTGAAAGCAATTTCCTGGCCTTGCTCATAGAAATGCATTCAAATCCAAAGATTTGCAATATACGTTTTTAGATGGCAGTCACATGATTGTCATGTATAGAATTGTTATCAACTATTTAAGCCCTTCCGTGTTTTTGAATCCTGGGGGGGGAATCTAATGGTGATTGTGCAAACAGCAGTACAACATATTTTGATAGTATTAGGAATCTTGGAAGTATTCACTGAATCTCATTATTATAAGAAAAATATATGTGAAGCAAGGATTTAAAATTCTACAATTTATAGGGTTAGATACTTAATTTTTGATAGGAAATCTGTTTTGGCTGAGTAGGTTCTACAGAAGAACTGGCAATGTCCAGCTTGATTTTAAATAACTATCACTCCTAGCATAATTCACTGTAGTGAACTTTTATTGTCAATTTTCCTTAGGACATATAAATAGTATGAGACATTAGTTCAGTTTTGTTATTTTATTTATTTATATATTTATTATGAATTTTCTAATCTACTGTGGAAACATTGGAAAAATAAAATATGTATTTATTTAGCTAACTGGTCCTTAAAACCTAGCATAGGATAAAAACAGCAAAGAGTCTTAAAGAAACTTTTAATTAATTTTTTGTTTATATTTTTTGTTATATCAAGGAAGTGATTATAATAAATTAACCTCTCAGAGAAAATCAAGTGCCTTTTTAGATCAAAATATTGGATGGAAATGTTTTCATGTTTTGTGTCATAGCTCAATATTAGGATCTTTAAATGATATGCTTTTTTTGCTTTTGTGTGACCTGTTTTTAAATCCTTTTGTTTTCTTTGTTTTCACATTTAATTATTATTGCTGTTACTTTTTAAAAAAAAAACACAGTAAAATATATCAGGAACTAACCAAAAGAACTGCATCAAAAGGCGATCTATATAAAAAGGAATCAATTATTCCCAAGGCATGGTGTGTGTGTGTGTGGGGGGGGGTGTTGCTTCAATATTGTGTTTCTGTATGTGTGTGCATTACCCAAACCAGAATTTGATTTCTTCTAATCTAAAAATGGGCAAAATGTGTGCACATTTCCTGTAAATTGTACTGAGAATATATAGATGAATTATGAAGTATCTAAAAGAATGAAACTAGCTACTTATTAGTGATATAAAAGCTGATGGAAATTATTTAAAATGATAAATTATTTAAAAATGTGATCAATTTAAACTACACTGAGAATATATTGTAAAGCTTGAAATATTCCAAATAATTAAGCTACTCCAATTACTAGTGCTGTAAGAGCTGATGGAGACAGCTATGAAAAGTACAAGTGAATTCTTTCACACCTGAACATCATAAAGCTGTTAAAAAGTTTCCTTTAAAGGGCAGAATTGGAGTTGCCTTGATACACACTCTATAGAGAGTACATTATATAGTTGATCTTATAGTTCTTAAATCTTTAATTTGCAAATATCATTAAAGGTGACAATGCAATGCAGTGATTATGAAATTATATATCTTGGAGATTGAAAACCAATATTTGCATTCCAAGGTAGTTATTTTCTAATTTAAAAAACTCCTTACAAAAAAACCTCAATCTGGAAAATAAATACATTAAACCAATTTCTATTAACTCCTGGCATCTTGATCCCTAAAGCAGCTTAGCAGATTGTAGCACGTTTTTCTTCTCTATCATGATTTGTTATGTTTCACATTTCTACCATCTGAATGGTTAGAATTTGGTTTTGTTCATCAGCACTGTAAGGAAATTCTTTAAAGGGTGAATTTTGTCTGCTTCCTAGCCAACATTTTTAATTGTCCATACATCTGGGATAATGGAAATATATTTTTCCACTTAATGTTTCAAATGTGCATCAAATGTATATAATCAGCCCACACATCTTGGAAACCATGGGCAATAACCATGGATATCAGAATATATAGCACAGTTACACATGGGTTTCATTATTTTTTGATGAAAGCATTTTTCTAGCAGGCAATTACAATATATAAAATTAAGTGACTGTGGGAAGAATCTAGAGAAGTAAATATTTTGGGGAATATTAAAAAGGCAGAATATATTTCCCCAAAGGAATAATGGAGAAGATATTTTTAAAGGCAGAAACTTCTCCCCCAAAAGCAGAAGCCAGCTTTTAGAAATGCAGATGTAATAATCCATTCAGGAAGGTTGAAGCCTTCCAGCTAGAAGCTGAAGAGATTAGGAAGACAAAGACCTTTAAAATCTACATACCCCACCCAAGCTCTAAAACATAATAGGATTAACCCACCAATGCCAAAGGAGCACACTCAGACTCAGCTCAAAGTACATGACACAGGAAATACAAAGCCTTAGGCAGGAACAGGAAACAACCTCAAGAGCCCTAGAAGGTATAAAAACCCACTACTCCCTGCTACATGTGGTCAGCTTTTCCCAGAGCCATCTTTCTGTCTGGCTCCCCTCTTCAATAAACTACAACCTTCTTTCTAAGGCAGTCTCCATGTTGTTTATTCCCAGCTTGGACTGAACCATGATGAAGAGTTTCTTTCAACACAACTTTTTCAGTTTCTGATTTTTGCTAGAAACTTCTGTTGTCTTAAATATTGATAAAAGTATATGTCCTTTTCTATAATTTATGGAAAAGAATTGAAAGACAAAAACATTTTATAATAATAAGGATACAGAAATCCAGGATTAATATAAATTGATTGGGTCATATAGAAAAGCCATTTTATTTCTCTCAGATGCTCCAGGATTTAGTTTAAGTTAGGCTTTAGAAGAGGAACTTTTTAAAAAAATTCCCAGAGTTTTCATGGAGCATATAAAATATCAAAATGCTCTTGATCATATTCAGAATATCTCTTTTGTA